TGTGTGTGTGTGTGTGTGTGTATGTATATGTATATGTATATATGAATGTACATCGAATTACACTAAATGCCAAATAATATATGCAAAAAAAATTTATGTGTGTCTGTACATGTATGAATGCTTATGTTTGCATATTTATTAATATATATATATATATACAGTATATATATTATTAGTTGCATTTAGTGTAATTTGTTAGATTATATATTTACATTAATATATATTTGTTTTTTGCATTTTTATTTTCTATTTCTATTTTCTACTTTTTTCACTTTTTTGCTTATTTAGTAGTTGCATTTAGTGTGAATTTGTCTGATAATAAAGACTGATAATTTATATAATGTTTCTTTGCATATATATATAAATAAATAAATAATAATTAATTAATAATAATTTATGCATTTAGCAGACGCTTTTATCCAAAGCGAGTCTTTCACAAATCTCATTTGCACTGCCGCATATTCAGTTATCGTATGCCATTTTCTTCACAAAAAAACTTCCTCTTCATCAGTTCTCACATTTTTGCGTTCAGTTATGAGACAAACCAGAAGCAATAGCATTTGGTTTCTGACAACAAACCTAGAATCATGCATGCGCATGTTTCCTATACAAAATTATCATATGGCTCCATAATTAGTTATATTTGTGTCTTTTTTTTAAATGCAATCAAATATACTGTGTTTGAGAGCAAAACTTATTATATTTTATACTATTTTATATAATATATATATGATTCTTAATGGCAAAGTTGACTTACTGTGAACTTACTGAAAAATAACGTTTTTTATGTCACTAATTTTAGTCAGTTACTTCCCTCAACTGAAATCAATAACCATTAGTGGTTCAGTCGATGGAAAAGTTTGTGTTTCCAAACAGTCCTAAAACAGAGATTTCTGCGTGTCTGCACTTTCCATTAGCGTGCACGAACCCATAACAAAGCGCATTTTAAAGTGCATGTGTGTTGCACGGGTGGTTGCACATGAGGGTGATTTATCTTAGTCCATCTCCAGCCTGGAGAGAATGGAACAGGAGCTCAAAGAAAGGCTCTTCAAAGAGAGTTCCTGCTCTTCCTGATCAAAGCCGCTGGTTCCCTCCTCCCGGGCCGTATTATTCTTCAGCCCTGACAGTCCCATGGATCCGTCCAAGAGACGGGAATAGATCGGCACATAGCAGCACTGTGATTTTTGTCCTGGGAGGAATGTGTGCGTGTGTGGCTGAGGGAAAGACGGGGATGTCCCTCGCTTCCGTCTGCCAGGGCGCTATTGAACTTGGTAATGCGAGCTTTCGGCTGACAAGCGGGACAGTGTTGCCTGTTGTTCGCTCGAGGTTAATTCTTTTGACTAAGGCAGGACTTGACACAGCTCAGGTGTATATTAAAGAATCTCGAAGAAGAAAGCCTTGGGTGTGGGGCCTTTTCCTCATGCACTTAGCTTAAAGGGACGGTCCACCCAAAAAATTAAAATGCATCAATTATTCACCCACAAAGATATTTTGGACAGTCTTAAAGATGCTCTTTTCCATGCAATGAAAGCATTTTGTGACCAGCAATATGTTTTAACCTCCAAAAAGGACAAAAAATACAATAAAAGGCAAGAATTTAAGTAATTTTTCACATAGTCTTTCACAAATCTCATTTGCACTGCCGCATATTCAGTTATCGTATGCCATTTTCTTCACAAAAAAACTTCCTCTTCATCAGTTCTCACATTTTTGCGGTGCTAATAAAAAAAGAAACAGAGGGAAAGAAAGGAAGGGGAAAAATGGTGCATGCTTTAAAAGTTTCATGCCGTTTCCAGTCCTGAAAGTTTATGGCGGGACTTAAGCAGGTTTACAGGAGGTTCTGTGCACATCCCACACATCTGAAATTGCAGACTCAAATTTATGCTGTAAGGCCGAACTATACAGCTGTCTATGGTGTTTCACAATGCTGTAAACTCATTAGAAAATGTAAAAAATCTACAAGGAGTATGCTCTATAACCACCCATATTTGCATATTAAGTGCTTCGGCCAAGAATTGCACTAGTTAACTGAGAATCTTAAAGGTACAGTAGCAAAAACAGCTTGTTTAATGCAGGTCAGAAAGGGTGGAAAATGGTAGTAAAAAGCTACATTTACATTCTTGAGCCAATACACCTTGACTAAATAAAAAAAAATATTTATTTAATGAGGGACAATACACATTAATAATACACACATGTAAAAATGTCAAATTTAGCCAAATTGGCTACTTTTAATCTGAAGTCCCTTAATAAAATAAATAAATATAACTAAATAAAATGCAAAAATATGTCCCCTTTAATACATTTTGGGTTGTTATCTATTCTATAAACGTGATTTGTGCTAGTGAGCTAAGAATCTTAAAGGTACAGTAGAAAAAATAACCTTTTTATTCATGTCAGAAAGGGTGAAAAATGGCCATAAAAGGCTATATTTAATAAACCTTGACTAACATTTAAAATCAACTCGAAGAAAAAATAAAATGCAAACGTGTTCCTTTTAATGCTTTTTTAGGATGTGATCTATTCTAAAAATGTGAACTGCATCAGTTAACTGAGAATCTTAAAGGTACAGTTGCAAAACAACCTATTTATTCAGATCTGAAAGAGTGAAAAATGGCCATGAAAAGCTACATTTACATTTTTGAGCCAATAAACCTTGACCGACATCATAAGTCAAAAAAAATAAAATAATCAATTTTAATGCTTTTTAGAATGTGGTTTATTCTAAAAATGTGAACTGCATCAGTTAACAGAATCTTGAAGGTATAGTAGCAAAAGCAACCTGTTTATTCAGATCTGAAATGGCCATAAAAAGCTACATTTACATTTTTGGCTAATATTAAAAAGTTGCTCCAAGAAAAAATAAAATGCAAAAATATTTCCTTTTTGGTGCTTTTTAGTGTGTGACCTATTCTATAAATGTGAATTGCATCAGATAACTGAAAATCTTAAAGGTACAGTATAGCAAAAACAGCCTGTTTATTCAGATCAGAAAGGGTGGAATATGGCCATAAGAAGCTATATTTACCAAAAAACATTGTCTAACATTATAAATCAACAAAAAAATGCAACAATATGAATTGCACCAGTTATCAAAGAATTAATGGTACAGTAGCAAAAACAACCTATTTATTCAGATCAGAAGGGTGAAGAATTTCCATAAAAGGCTACATTTACATTTTTGAGCCAGTTAACCTTGACAAACTCCCAATATGAAATGCAAAAATATGTTCCTTTGAATGCCTTTTAGGATGTGATCCATTCTATAATTTCTTTCGGTACAATGCAAACATGAATTGCTTGATCATTTATGCATTTTCAAAGCCATCGGTTGCACAGGTGTGCTGCAGTCATCTGGATTTATGTCTGTGCTATCTGTAGGCTGGCGGAGGTGTGGAGTTACACCCGTCCCATCAGGCCGCTCCCCGCCGCGGTAATCAGAACCACACGGAATGTGTGCGGGAGCCTTTTCTTCTCCCTTCTCCCCTCTTCCCTCTGCAACTGATAAGACAGAAATCTAATTAAAAGGGAGGCAGGCTGGCACACTTTGAAGGGCACGGGAATGCTCCGCTGGCACGCACGCTCCCGTCCGCTCTGTCTTCAGGGGTGCTAATAAAAAAAGAAACAGAGGGAAAGAAAGGAAGGGGAAAAATGGTGCATGCTTTAAAAGTTTCATGCCGTTTCCAGTCCTGAAAGTTTATGGCGGGACTTAAGCAGGTTTACAGGAGGTTCTGTGCACATCCCACACATCTGAAATTGCAGACTCAAACTTATGCTGTAAGGCCAAACTATACAGCTGTCTATGGTGTTTCACAATGCTGTAAACTCATTAGAAAATGTAAAAAATCTACAAGGAGTATGCTCTATAACCACCCATATTTGCATATTAAGTGCTTCGGCCAAGAATTGCACTAGTTAACTGAGAATCTTAAAGGTACAGTAGCAAAAACAGCTTGTTTAATGCAGGTCAGAAACGGTGGAAAATGGTAGTAAAAAGCTACATTTACATTCTTGAGCCAATACACCTTGACTAAATAAAAAAATATATTTATTTAATGAGGGACAATACACATTAATAATACACACATGTAAAAATGTCAAATTTAGCCAAATTGGCTACTTTTAATCTGAAGTCCCTTAATAAAATAAATAAATATAACTAAATAAAATGCAAAAATATGTCCCCTTTAATACATTTTGGGTTGTTATCTATTCTATAAACGTGATTTGTGCTAGTGAGCTAAGAATCTTAAAGGTACAGTAGAAAAAATAACCTTTTTATTCATGTCAGAAAGGGTGAAAATGGCCATAAAAGGCTATATTTAATAAACCTTGACTAACATTTAAAATCAACTCGAAGAAAAAATAAAATGCAAACGTGTTCCTTTTAATGCTTTTTTAGGATGTGATCTATTCTAAAAATGTGAACTGCATCAGTTAACTGAGAATCTTAAAGGTACAGTTGCAAAACAACCTATTTATTCAGATCTGAAAGAGTGAAAAATGGCCATGAAAAGCTACATTTACATTTTTGAGCCAATAAACCTTGACCGACATCATAAGTCAAAAAAAAAAAAAAAATCAATTTTAATGCTTTTTAGAATGTGGTTTATTCTAAAAATGTGAACTGCATCAGTTAACAGAATCTTGAAGGTATAGTAGCAAAAGCAACCTGTTTATTCAGATCTGAAATGGCCATAAAAAGCTACATTTACATTTTTGGCTAATATTAAAAAGTTGCTCCAAGAAAAAATAAAATGCAAAAATATTTCCTTTTTGGTGCTTTTTAGTGTGTGACCTATTCTATAAATGTGAATTGCATCAGATAACTGAAAATCTTAAAGGTACAGTATAGCAAAAACAGCCTGTTTATTCAGATCAGAAAGGGTGGAATATGGCCATAAGAAGCTATATTTACCAAAAAACATTGTCTAACATTATAAATCAACAAAAAAATGCAACAATATGAATTGCACCAGTTATCAAAGAATTAATGGTACAGTAGCAAAAACAACCTATTTATTCAGATCAGAAGGGTGAAGAATTTCCATAAAAGGCTACATTTACATTTTTGAGCCAGTTAACCTTGACAAACTCCCAATATGAAATGCAAAAATATGTTCCTTTGAATGCCTTTTAGGATGTGATCCATTCTATAATTTCTTTCGGTACAATGCAAACATGAATTGCTTGATCATTTATGCATTTTCAAAGCCATCGGTTGCACAGGTTTGCTGCAGTCATCTGGATTTATGTCTGCTTTTATATAATCTAATCCCCTTTAATTCATGCGACCTGTTTGATCTGCTAGGTATTGAACATGTGAAAGGATTCAGAGTGTATCTGGAGGACAAGAATCCCGAGGGAAAGCAGTGCCAGCACATGATCCTAAAGGATCCGCGACAGCTTAACTTCTCTTACAAAACCGTTGTAAGTATAATATGCTTTATATTAGACACAAAATTTAGTGGAAATGAATTTTTATGTTCATATTCATCTGTTTTTCCCAACAGAGGATGAGCTCACAGCCCTTCTCTGGTCTCACCTTTGAGACGGACTACATGGTCAGAATCGTGCCGTTTCCCACGTTCTTGAACGACAGCTTCTTTCCGCCATCTTTTCTGCGCACTAACAGTGAGTGTTAAGCCTGAAACAATACTATAAAAAACATGTTTGTGGCTTTATTTTATCCTACCTTTAGGAAAAAAAATATATATATAATTAAATATTTATTATTATTATTATTAAATATTTATAAATATTAATGCCATTAAAAAACAATTTATAATTAAAAAATATTCTGGTACACAAAATGACAAATTACTTATTTTTTTACTATTAGTTATTGTTTTATATTCTAACTTAATGGATATTTAACGTTAAAAATTACTTTAAAAATTGCCATCTTTTTTGCGTAGAAGTAAACATACTCTACAAAAAAAAAATGTGTTTCTGGCCATATTCTTTTAGGATTTTGGAAAAAAAATTTTTTATTTATTTATTAAATGTTAATGAGGTTTTTACCAAAAAAATATTTAGAATTATAATTAAAATCATTAAAACATATCCTGTTATACAAAATGACAAATTTATAATTAAATGTTTAAAATGGGATTATAAATATAATTAAAAATAATTATAATTTATTTTGTAATTTATTTATAATATTTATAGTTTATTTTTATTATTACTATGATTTATAATATTTATAAATATTCATTTGAGGTTTTTATATATATTTTTTAATTATATCTGGTACACAAAATGACAAATGTATAATTAAATGTTTATAATTTAATTATAAATGTAATTAAAATACTTGTAAAATAATGATCATTTATTTGTTAATTTTATAATTTAATTTTAAAATTTATAATTTGTTGTTGTTATTATTATTAGATATATTTCTATTTTTCATTTAGTTTTTTCTAAATATGATTAAAATAATTTATAAAATATTACATTTTTTTTTTTACAATCAGTTAGTGTCATATTCTAACTTAATGGATGTTTAAAATGACTTGACTGCTATTAGAAAAATTGTGCAAAAAAAATGAAGTAGTTTCTTGTTCCTTGCGTTCTCACAGGTTGTGAAGTGCTTCTTGGCCCAGATAACCTCGTCTGCAAACCATGTGAGTTCTTTAGAGAGAGAAAAAATGTCAAATCCAATTCATCTGTTTTTGTTAGCCAAGCTGTGAAACGGCCTAAACAGGGACTTCAAATGAAACCAAAACCAACCTTGCTCTTCTTTCTCTTTCTTCCCTGACAGTCTGGAAGCCCAAGATGCTGAATGTTTCTCAGCTCGGATCTAATTTGCATGTTGTGTTTGACCACGCCCCTTCCACGTTCGGCTTCACCATCTACTACCTGTACTACAAGCTCAGACAGGAGGGGCCCTTCAGACTCAAACGCTGCAAACCTGTGAGCAGTTTACCTAGTAATTGCATTGGAAAATCCTGGCACAAATTAATAAACATTTGCATTCATAATTCACCCCAAATGCTCACTCTCATGTCATTTCGAGGAGTGTTTCCTAATGATTTGCATGTTTGCATCATCGGGTAACTGTAAGTGTTTGCATACTGTTAGCTTTGCACACACACGGTTTTTCTAGCAGGAAGTGAGATGTTCAGGGTTAATGCGTGTAATGCTCTTCCCAGACAGCTGGAATAATATATAGTCTTATCCTGTTGAGTCGCTGCTTTCCACACTTTGGTTGTGTTGGAGATGGAAATGTAAAGAGCAGAGAGCTTTCACAGCAGCACTTTGTCACTTAGAAACTGCGCTGGGAGTTAGAAGTCGGCTATCTGTCTTTCTTTTTTGCGAAGGACATGTATGTTTGGTTCAGGACTAACTGTCTTCAGGGGATAGTTGAGCTGAAAATGGATATTCTGTTGTGATTTACTCACCCTTGTGTCATTCAAATGCATTTGACTTTCTTTCTTCTGTGAAACAGTCTTCTGTGAGAAGTATGCTCATGCTGCTCTTCTCCATACAGAGAAACTGAGTCGAATTGGGACGGAGGCTGTTAGGCTCCAAAAAATTATCTAAAGGAATGGAAGCCCAAGACATATTTTGAAGACATATGACAAGAATATAAATGAGTGATTATATCATTATTATTTATTTATTTATTTATTTATGTATATAATAATTAATTAATAATAATAAAGTTAATAAATAATACTAGTAATAGAAATCGAGAAAAGCACATAACAAATAAAATGTATAATAAAAAATTTATATTCTAATAATAATAATAATAATAACAACAATAATAGTAATTATTATAATATAATATATAATAATTATTTATATTTGAATTATTATCATGACTATTAGTATTAGTAGTAGTACTTATTATTTATTAATAATAATGTAAATAATTATTATCAATACAATAAATGATTAAATGTGTATTCATTATTTATTATTTTTATAATTATTCTGATGATGATGATGATTTTTATTATAATTAATAATTATAATTATATTAAATAATAAATACTACTGGTAATAGTAATTGAGAAGATCACATTACAAATCAAATGTATAATAATTATAAAAATGAATATCCTAATAATAATAATATTAATATTTTTATGTAATAATAATTAATTATTAATAATAATTTATATTTGGCTAAATTATTATTATTACTATTATTAGTAGTAGTAGTACTTATTAATTATTATTTATTAATAATAATGTCAATAATGATTATTGATGCAATGAATTAATAAATATGTATTAATAATTAATTATGTTCATAATATTTATTATAATTAGCATAATTAATAATAATTATATTAAATAATAATAAATACTACTAGTAATAGTATTTTAGAAAAGCACATTTCAAATAAAATAAATAATAATAATAATTATTATTATATATGAATAAACATTATTATTGTTATCATTTTAAATTATTATTATACATTTTATTTCTAATACGCGTTTGAGTGCTACAAGCAATTAAGCATTAAATATCCATAAACAGTGAAGTTCACTGACACACTAAATGGCTAATTAACAACAGAAAGATAAATGACGCTCCATGTTTAAATGTGCACTTTTATGGTGTTTTTTTGTCATTTTTTGAGTTATCTCTGTAAGGCTTTGGCTGAAGCAAAATCTTTATTCTCTTGGAACCACAATGTTGGGATTGATTTCATTTAGAGGTTTTATTATTTCAACACCAGCATGAGGTGTTTCATATTTGTGTCATTTTGGAACACGACCTGGTTCTTTTGAACAATTCTTATTCACATCTTCTTCCTATTAGAGGGTGTAAAAGCATTGTCCTGGCCTTTTTCAGAAGAGCGCAGCGGTCATATCTGTAGCCGGGCCGGGTGGCATTGTTTGTAGCGATAATAGAAAGAGGTGAAATTTGAGGTGAACGATGCCACCAACGGGGGATTCCAGAGTTCAGACGCTCTATGGATCTCTGTGAGATCATTGTTATCGTTTCACTTTCCCACCACAGGTTTCTAAGAAACTGAGTGCATTAGAAACCCTGTTTTAATGTAGAGCATCTGTAAACATAAACTGCAAGTTTAGGATCCTTGTGTTTGAATGTTTACCTTAATGTAAGTAACAGGGTGAACAGTTTAACTGTTTGTTTAGCTTTTTCCAGCCTTGTTCTTAAAGTAATGGCACTTTAAGGTGTTTATTAGAAAGAAAATTCAATGCACATCACATTTTCAAAGACAGTTTGCTGATAATGTACTCACCCTCAGGCCATCCGAGATGTAGATGAGTTTGTTTCTTCATCAGGTTTGGAGAAATGTAGCATTACATCACTTGCTCACCAATGGATGCTCTGCAGTGAATGGGTGCCGTCAGAATGAGAGTCCAAACAGCTGATAAAAACATCACAATCCACACCACTCCAGTTCATCAGTTAACATACTGAGAAGAGAAAAGCTGCATGCTTGTAAGAAACAAATCCATCATTAAGGTTGCTTTTAGCTAAAATACGAGTCCATAATCCATAATAATGCTTCCTCCAATGAAAAATTCGTCTTGTCTGAATCAGGAGAGAAATCTGCACAGATCAAGCACCGTTTACAAGCAAAAACAGCTCTAAACAAATATGTGTGTGGATTTTGATGTGAGAGAACAACAGGAGAGAGACTTTTTCACTGGAGGAAGCGTTATTATGGATTGTAGACTTTAATTTTATCCAGAAGCAATGCTTTAAAGTTAAAACGTCTTAATGATGGATTTGTTTCTTACAAACACGCAGCTCTTTACTTCTCAAGACATTAACTGATGAACTGGAGTGGTGTGGATTATTGTGATGTTTTTATCAGCTGTTTGGACTCTCATTCTGACGGCACCCATTCACTGCAGAGCATCCATTGCTGAGACACTGATGCAATGCTACATTTCTCCAAATCTGATGAAGAAACAAACTCATCTACATCTCGGATGATCTGATGGTGAGGAAATGTTCAGCAGATTTTCATTTTTGGGTGAACTATTCCTTTAAAAGTTGGTGCATCATATTAATTTACACATTTGTTAATGAAGGCCACAAGTAGCTCTTGGTTTATGGAATGACCCAGATATTATATTATCATTGCATGTAATTTTACATAAAATGCATTACACATTTTTAAATAATGTGTCTCTGTTTTCCTTGCAGGAGCAAAATGGCCCCAAAACTACATGTGTTCTACAAGACGTCACTCCAGGAACTTACGCAATAGAGGTATGCGCGTTATTCATTTCATATGCAATTAAATGAGTTTCATTTAACATTTATTGAACTAAGCAGAACAAATCTGCTTTGCTATTCCTGCAGCTTCGCGATGACAACAACTCGACCAGAAAACAGACGCAGTACCACGTGAGCCAAGGTAAAAAGGCTTTGCCGTTTTCATACTTTTGAATGTTTAGCGTCTGTATTCAGACTGATCAGATGTTGTTTGTGTTTGCAGTGCATTCTCCGTGGGCCGGACCGATCCGCGCCATGGCCATCACCGTCCCGCTGGTCATCATGTCGGCCTTCGCCACTCTCTTCACCGTTATGTGTCGCAAGAAACAGCAAGGTGCGTGTCCATCATTAGCGAGGCTCTGTATCATCATCTGGTATCTGTAAACTGATCTCTGTAATCTGACGGCATTGACCAGGATTAATGCGTGGTGAAATCTCAGCGTTTGTGCTCACGCCATTCTGCTGCAGCTCTGCTCGTTCCTCACAAAAGAAACTCCTGTAAGCCTGTTAGTGTGTAATGCGTCTTACAGAAGCAAAATGATGTTCAGTTTCCAACGTTTTGGGAAGATTCCCCTCACAAAACCTCATAGAATACCTTGGTTTCTACAGTTACTGTTATATCTGTGAAATCCTAACTAGGTTTTTCATTTTCTGAAGAACTTTTGTCACCGCCACAATTCTAGGGTTGCCATGGCGTTCCTGTGTGGTTGCTAAGGTGTGCAGAGTGTCTTATTACACGTTGCTAGGGTGTTTTGGGTGGTTGTTAGGGCATTGCCAGTTAGTTAAGGATGTTCTGGTTGCTTAGTGGCACAAAAAAGTTTCTTCTGGTCTCTAAATCAGTATTATTTTAGTATCATTGAGATACTAATATAGTTTTAATTTATATTTTGAAATCACTTTTATTTTTGTATTTTATTTTTTCATTTTCATTTTAAAGTTTTAGTAATTACGTTTTTGTCATTTTTATTAGTTTTTTTCCCTCTAGTTTTTATAAATTTTTTATTTCAGTTTTTATTTAGTTATTTTAGTACATTAAATTGAACTAAATGAAAATTAGAAATGTTGCTTTGGCAACTAGCTGAAATAAAACAAGTTTTAAGTTTTTTGTACGTTATTTTATTTTAGTTAATGTTTATTTTATTTTTTATGGTTTTAGTCAAAAATACTTCATTGATATTTCAGTTAACATTTATTTTATTTCAAGTAACACATTTTTAAAGGTATTAGTTTTAGTCAACTAGCTGAAATAAAAATAATTTTTTACAATGTTATTTCAGTTAATGTTTATTTTATTTCAATTAATGAAAAAAATTTTTTGGTTTTACTTTCAGTCAGCTAGCTGAAATAAAATAAGTTAAGGATTTTTTTGTATTTTATTCTATTTCAGTTAATGTTTGTTTTATTTTTTATGTGTTTAGTTTTAGTCAACTAGCTGAAATAAAATAGGTTACTACTTTAATAGTTTAGTTTATTTTAGTTAACGTTTATTTTATTTCAAGGTACACATTTTTAAAGGTATTATTTTGTCAACTAGCTGAAATAAAAAAAAGAATTCAAAAGTTTTTTTTTATTTCAGTTAATGTTTATTTTATTTAAATTAATGAAAAAATTTCAATTAATGAAAACTAGCTGAAACAAAATAAGTTAAGTTTTTTAAAATATTTAAAGTTTTATTTAAATTTAAATTTTTTTATTTTTGCTACTTAATATTTATAAGTAGCAAAAATAATTTTTTTATTGTTTAAGTTTTAGTCAACTGCCGAAATAAAATAGTTTCTTTTACAAGTTTTTAAAAAATATTTTATTTTAGTGGTTTATTTTATGTGAAGTAATGATTTTTTAAAAATGTTTTTTTAACCAAACCGTTACATTTCAAGTAATGGAAATGTTTTACAATACAATACAATATTACAAATAACCCTGCTCTAGATACGTTTAGCCTCCAAGTCTATGGGATTTTTTCCAATAACTATGGTATTTTAAGCTAAAATATGGTTACCAAGGTACATTTTTGTGAAGGTGGATTAGGGGGGATGTAAGACAAAAACATCTGTTGCTCTAACATGGACCAATTAGGCTTTACTTTCAGTTCTTCCAGTGCTCTAAAAGGAGCTCTCATCATATGGAAACAATAAATGTGCTTTTTTTCCACTCGCTACAAATCTCAATTGATCCTGGTTAGATTCCCGTCTCTGATCTGAATTCCTCTGCAGAGAACATCTACTCCCACCTGGACGAGGAGAGCTCAGAGTCTTCATCTCAGACCACGGCGCTGAGCGCAGACAGACCCTGGCCCAGACCCAAGATCTTCATCTGTTACTCCAGTAGAGACTGTCCCAAACACCTCGCCGTCATCCAGAGCTTCGCCTTCTTCCTGCAGGACTTCTGCGGCTGTGAGGTCAGGAAATACACTACCGTTCAAAGATGATACTTTTATTCAGCAAGGATGCATTCAATTGATCAAAAGTGACAGTAAAGACATTTATAATGCTACAAAACAACTAAATGCTGTTCTTTTGAACTTTCTATTCATCTGTGAATCCTGAAAGATAAAATGTATCACAGGTTCCATCAGCAAATCAGAATATTAGAATGATTTCTGAAGATCATGTGACACTGAAGACTGGAGTAATGATGCTGAAAATCCAGCTTTGATCACAGAAATAAATTACAGTTTAACAGATATTCGAATGGACAACAGCTATTTTAAATTGTAATAATATTTCACAATTTTATTGCATTTTTGATCAAACAAATGCAACCTTGGTGAGCAGAAGACACTTCTTTCAAAAAAAGTTTGACCGGTTTGAAATGTTTGTTGATGACGCCCTCTAGTGGCAGGAGAAAGTTGAAGACTCTTTGATCACCCACATTATTCCACAGAGAGTAATCCAGATGTCAACATGAAATAAGCAAGGCTGTAGAGTTTAGTAGAGATGCTATGACATGTCCCTACCAATATCCAGCCACTACTAAATTATCCCTAGCAATAATTTTGATCAAACAATTAAATGTCTGTTGTCTGACGTTATGTTCCCAGCAATGCCAAAATCAAACCTACACCCTCGGAAATAAGAAATTAATTTATTTACTTTCCTAATACTTATTCCTGGTCGTGATCCTGTGCATGAATCATCAGTGATTGTTATTCCAAAGAAAACACTTTACAGTCATTTGTTAACATTAGTTAACTACATTAGTTGTCATAATAAACCTAACAATAATAAATACTTCTACAGTCTTCATTAATATTAGTTATTGTTAATTTCAACATTTACTAGTACATTTTTTAAATCTTTTTTTTTTTGCATCTTTTAACATTAGTTTAATGCACTGGGAATTAACTTGAACAAATTCAATGAACTATTGTTTATTTATTAACTAACCAGCTTTAAGGTCTCAGAGGTTTTCCACCAAAATAAAAGTTCTGTAGTTAAATGTTTGAAAGCAAAGAAATTAAGACAGCCATAAATATTATTATTGTAATTTTACTGTTGTTTTGTAAAATTAAAATGATGATGATTATTGTTATTAAATATTTGTTTTCTATTATACAGTATTGTATGATTACAGTATTATTGCAGTAATATGTTTCTTGATTTGTTTATTTTTTATGTTTTAAATAATGAACAAAATAAAATATTTGTTATTTATTAATTATTATTATTAAATACTTGTTTTATTTCTTAGAGTACAATAGTATTATTGCAGTAGTAATATTTCTTTATTGATTAGTTGAATTTTTAATTTTAAATAATTAAATATTAAATTATTATGATTATTAAATACTTATTTCTTTTTTTACAGTACAAAATAATTTTTTTAAATTGATTTTTAAAAATATTTTAAATAAAATATTTTGAATGTTAATAATAATAATCATAATTTTTTTTTATAGTAAAATAGTTTCAGATGTGACTACATGTCTGTGTGTGAATGCTCAGGTGGCGCTGGATCTCTGGCAGCACCTGGAGATCTGTAAGGAGGGTCAGATGTCCTGGCTGAGCCGGCGTATCGACGAGGCTCACTTCATCATTACCGTCTGCTCCAAAGGCCTGAAGTATTTCGTGGAGAAAAGACACCGTAAGGGCAAAGCCACGTCGAAGGAGAACAACCGAGAACCGACCGCATCCGACTCCACCGGCAACAGAGACCTTTTCATCGTTGCCACGGCGATGATCTCCGAAAAACTCAAAGAGGTGCATCAAAAGTCCTCGGACCTCTCGCGCTTCATGTCGGTGTACTTCGACTACTCTCACGAGAGCGACGTGCCCACTTCCCTCAGCCTGGCGCCCAAATACAAACTAATGGACCAGCTTCCCCTGCTCTTCGCCAGACTCCACTCTCGCCAGCTCAGCCTGACCGACCGCGAGCCGCAGCCACCGAATGTCAGCAAACGCAACTACTTCCGCAGCAAATCGGGCCGCTCGCTGTACGTGGCCATCTGTAACATGCACCAGCACATCGAGCAGGAGCCCGACTGGTTCGAGAAGCAGCTCATGCCGCCGCCGCCGCCAAATAAACTCCTCCCTCCTCCAGAGAAGCTGGACTCGGGGCTCGTCCTGAACGAGGTGAAGCTCAAACACCCCTCGGAGAGCGACTGTCCCGTGAGGAGCAACGTCCTGATCCTGCCGCCGACGCCAAAGCTGGAGCTTTCGCTGAGTTTGTCGCAGGAGGATCTCGGGGAGGGTTCGTCCGGTCAGGATGTGGGTTCGTCTCGGCCGGACGGATCGGCCAGTCCGGTGGAGATGCCCAGAGATTCGGGGATCTACGACTCGTTATAAATATATGCTGAGGTCTAAGTAAGTCATGGAGCTTCACACAGGGTTGTGATTTTTTTTATGTATTTATATGGACTTTCAAATGCAATATTGTGCATTTGAAAATGCAATGTGTCAACCATCTTTTCATATTTGTAATGAGAATCATTTATAAATCTATAAAAAAGGTCAATAGTTCAACAGTTGAATGCAAAGAAATGAAGACAGCCATATTTACTAGTATATATTAGTATTGTAATTTTACTGTTAATCTGTGAAATAAAACAATTTTATTTTACAGTTCAATAGTACTATTGCAATATAAATTGATTAATTTACTTTTCTAATTTAAATAATGATAAAATAAATATATTTTGAACAATAATAATAATAATTATTATTATATTTTATTGTACAGTGCAACAGTAATATTTTATATTTTTATTACATGTATTACATACATATTTTATATATTTATATTCATAATTTTTATTATAAATTAAATGATTATGTAAAATATTATAAAAAGTATACATTTTTATAATTATAAAAATTAATAATAATTGTTAATATTATTAAATACTTGTTTTTTATTTGACAGTACAATAGTATGATTGCAATAGTAATTTTTTATTGATTAGTTTAAGTTTTATAATTTAAATAATAAAATAAAAATATGATTTTGAAATAGATAATAATGACAAATATTATTTTTTACAGTACAGTATTATGATTGCAATAGTAATATTTTATTAGCTTAATTTTTTTACATTTGAATTACTATAACGTTTAAATGACTATATACTATTGTTAATATTATTAAATAATCATTGTTTATTTTAAAGTACTGAAGTATGATTGAAATAGTAATATATTTCTTTATTGATTAGTTAAATTTTATAGTTTTATATAATAGAAAAAAATAACAATAATAGTAATAAAAATAATTATTATTATTAAGTAATTTATATTTGCATTATGGCTGTCAAATCGATTAATCGGGAATAATAGCATCCAAAATAATAGTTTGTGTTTACATAATATATGTGTGTGTGTACAGTATTGTCTATATACATATACGTATGTATAAATAAATACAAACACATATATGTATATAATAAAGGAATTTATGCAACATATATATATATATATATAAAATGAATCATATGTAAATATGAATACATATATATGTGTAAATATTTCTTAAATGTATACATGTATGTGTGTATTTATATATACATATAAATATACACAGCAAACAGATATATTATGCAAACACAAACTTTTATTGTGAATGCGATTAATCGATTTGACAGCCCTAATTTGCATATATTCAAATGTTTTTGTATGCTACAAACATGCATATAAAATAAAAAGAATAAAAAGAAAATATTACAAATAATACAGAGAAAAACTCCTGACATTTGTAGTGATTTATATTTGCATATGTTCATATATTCCGATTTTTTTGTATGCTAGGAATGTTATAATATATATATATATTACATATATATATTACAAGTAATGATGAGGTGACTAAAAAGTGATTTTTGTTTTCATATGTGGAGATTATTTTGCGTGCTAGAAATATGCATATAAAAGCAAATATATATAAAATATTACAAATCACGAAGAGGTGATTAAAAACTCCACACTGACATTTATGCAGATTTTTCTATGACAGAATTATTTAAATAAACAAAACAAAAAATACAAATGATGAAGAGGTGATTAAAAACTCCATAGTGACCTTTAAAGTGATTTATATTTGCATGTATTGTCTTTTATTGAGCTCAAACCACACAGCCCTGTAATCTGGTGAACTCTGGAACAACAGCGAGGTGAAAAGCTTGTAGGAAGAGTCATTTTCCTCTTCCACAAAACAATACACAGGGTGTCCTCGCTCCAGGAGGTTTTTGGCCATCATAGACACCAGTGCCTTGGCGTAGCCTTTCCGTCTGTGTTGTGGCAACGTGTAGAGCAAACCAAGAGCAGCGTGTTGGTACACAAGCAGCCAGGAGATGGGCTCGGTGCCGCCCTCCTCTATCACACACAGTGAAGGATTATGGGAAATGTAGTTCAGCACTGAGTTGTAGCTGTTATGGTCTCCGCCATATTTCCATGTGCTGTTCACCAGATGTGCATGAGCCGCACTGAGCGGCGCGAATCTGAGTCCAGCGGAACTGAAAACATCGAAAATAAAAAGAAAAGGTCAACTATTAAAAACAAGGTTACGAACGCTTCTTTAAAAAATAAGGTATTTAAAGGGGTCATAGGATGCCCATTTTCCACAAGTTGATATGATTCTTTAGGGTCTTAATGAAAAGTCTGTAACATAGTTTGGTTAAAATTTCTCAATGGTAGTGTAAAAAACACACTTTTTACCCTGTCAAAAACAGCTCTTAGCATCCTATGACCCCTTTAAAGCAAATAAAATGTGCTCTTTAGTTAAAAAAAAATTTCAAACCCTGCAAAATCCGCAAAACTCATATAAATAAATGAAAATTATAACAATGGGATAATGTTTTCGTTTATGCTGCATGGACATGTTTTGGGATATTAAAGAAACTATGTAATAGCTCCGTGTATTTTTGCGACTTTGGAGCCCCCTTCAGATAAGTGAGTGGAATTGACTGTCGTAAATATTCACTGTTGTAATAACAGTGATAGCCGTACTCTTATGATATAGCTTATCATATTATCTTAGGCTGCTCTTATTATTGGGGTCAGCAGCTTAAAGGCCAACTTTGATCAGGTGTGCTTTGATAACCAATCACATTACACCCTTGACGTCATTGAATTTCTGTCATAGTTATGCGACAGCTGTTTGCGGATACCATAGAATTTTTATTTTTATTTTTTAATGCTCAAACAGAATTCAAATACAAACATTTATGGCATATGTCAACTACCCTACAAATGTTTTTCATGTTGATACAGCATTTTAATAAAGCAAATTATATAAAAAAAATCAATAGTAATTGAATAGAAAAATAAATAAATAAAAAGAGGGAAAGGCGAGCGTCTCATTCAAGTAATGAAAACAATTAAGTCTAAAAACAAAAAGAAGTTTCAGGGCATTTCTCTCCGTCATTGAAGAGATTTACAAATAACTTCAAATCAATCTTCCATCTGTTGAAATGGGGTTTCACCTTTAAATATTTACATCTATGAATGAAGTGTTTATCTAGAACAATCAGGTTGTTATCATAGAAATGAATGAAAAGTACTGAAAACCTGTCGCAAAATTGTCTGTGTCCATAAACACTAACAATAGATAAATCCAAAAACTAATGTTTAATGGCAAACATGTTGAATATTAGCCAATATGCTGTAGATTCATTAAACGATAAGCTGTTTTTCCACAAAAGCGGTTTATTCAGCATAGTCCTCGTCTGTAGACGTGCGTTTATTGCTGCCGTAAAGCAATCTGCTATTTTTGCGGTATTTCGTACCCGCTCAGTGAACTTCCGTTTGTCAAAGAAACAAGAGCCATTCACCTTATTTAGAAGTGCATGTCATCAGAATCATTTTGAAACTGATATTTTAAGGTAAAAGCTTACATACAGTTGCTTTAAGCATCATCCTGTGTTGGGAAAGATAATATTTGGCGTTTAAGATTAAGTAGCCTACCTCTCTTTAAGCTGCAGCTGTCCTTCATCCTGCAGCAGTAAGACCTTCATCACTCCTTGAACTTTCCACGGAAGTCCATGCTGATCTGCAAACTCCTGAACTGCTTCTAAATGCCTGATGTCAACCCCTTTATTGCAGCCAACAGGTTTGTGCATGGTTCATTTAGTCACAGTCTCAAAACTAGTTATTTCAGGTAATTAATTTGATGAGGAATAGAGTGCGTACCTGCTAATAATGTGAATGCATCTTTATTGATCACACCAGGTGTGTTCAGAAAGTTTTTCAGGCTGTCTTTGCTCTTTGAGTAGATGCTGTATATGTTGAAATCTCCTTCTCGATCCTTTGTGCCCTGATAAAAAAAAAAAAAACATACATACATATATATATATATATATATATATATATATATATATACAC